TAGTTGCGGTTCACCTATGAGGAGCCTTCTTTCACCTGTGATCAACAACAGAGCAAAATATTGCTCCTGTCATTTCATGAAGTACAGTATGCAGATCATGGAAAATTGTCTGTTTTAGTCCATGCCTTAGATATTTTACATCAAAGAGAGAAATAATGAATTACACTCAATTGTATTTAGCTTTTTAAAATAAAAATCATTGAATGTGTTATTTTAAAACTTAACTTACTCGGGGGAAGATTTGTGAATTTCTCCGTCAAATGAGTTGCTGCACTAGATGGGGATTGAGCAGTACGAAAAGACACTAAAGTGTTTGTGGCAAAATTATTGTTGGGCGTTCCATTTTCTTGAGCAGCTGATATCTGTGCTGATGAAGTTGAATCTTGTCTGTTATGATCTACTCTACGCTGCCTTGAATGCTTTTTTCTGATCTGTTTACACCCACATGCAATAGCTCCAAACGTAATAAGTAGAAATATCACAGCGATCATAATCACTGATATGTTCTTCTCCCAATTTGAGTAATAAGCAATTGATGGCACTGCTTTATCAATCTCTGGCTTTCTCGTTGACCCAGAATCTTCACCTCGTTCAACGCTGAGGGCAGAAGAAGCCAACGAACTAGAGGTAGGGAGGATAGGTGTAACTGGCGTAGCAGTAAATTTGGAAGCCACACTTCTTTGGGAACTTGGTGGAGGGGCTACTTGAATTTCAACACATTCTATGTCCGTGTCATATGAAACAGTAGCTCCACATGGGACAGATGAGGTTATATGGCCATCATGATCATAACATTCTGGACAGGGAAAACAACTGATGCATTTGCCCGTCGCATCGACTCGTTTAATTTCGCCAATACAATCTGGGCATTGAGCTATCACTTTTTCAGGGACCTTACCATGAAAAATGATGAATGAATCATAAATTAGTCAGATTTTCAAGCTAAATTAGTCCAATGTTTGTTGAATAGAGTAATTGCGAAAAACCTTTCTGAATTAAGCTAATTATATATAATTATATTATATTAATTTAGCTCTAGTTTGAAACGAGTGATTCAGATAGCAGCATAATAAAATATCCACATAATGTAGATTCTATGGATCAAATATGCCAGCAACATAAATTTATGTGCAATTAAAAGCACTGCACATTGATTACCACACATATTTGGTCAATTTGTGTGGATAACCTCAATAAACTTCTCAATTGTTACGATAATGTAGTTGCGGTTGTCTTGGAAGCAAGACAGATAAAGCATTTAAGGAAATCACACGCTATTTCGTCGAGAACAAAGTGAACCCATGTGCTTGTAAAGCCTATCTAAGCTGGTAAAAGTACACGTAAGGCACTAGAAGAAAGTCGAAGAGAGTAGAAGAGATGACTTTCCACAGGACTGCTGCCATGATTACTTGCTTGCTGGCGGTTGAAATAGAGGCGGTTTAAAAAATTCGCCCCTGATGATGTGTCATGCGAAACACTGGATAACAATGTAGCCCTGCATGATTGGTAACGATTTCTTAACCATAATATCCTTTTCAGCATCAGGGACTGCCTCTTCAGCAAGCAGTAACCAGAAGTTCCCCTGAATTAATTTTTTGGTTCTGAGTACTCTGAATATCAAATTACAAAAGGAATTTTGGAGGGGTGGGGTGAGAGGGTATCAGCTTTAGTTCGTAAGGGGCATTACCAGCGTCAACAAAAATTTTACTGTAAATCTGCCTTGGACGCTTCGAAACGAAACAAAAGATTCGCACTTGTCCTGGGTTAACTTAATCTTGTTTTGAGTCACCCATTAAGCTCTTCGCTCTAGCATCATTTCAACGTCGGCTCTCAGGCTTGGAATTTTTGTGAATCACTTTTGAATAAACTTTCATTTGGCAAATTTAGTGAAAATTAAAAACAATCATTCTATACTCACAGCTGCGATGAGGACAAGAAAGATGCCTGCAGTCAGTCTACTGTACATGTATAAGCTTCCTTTGTGAAACCTAAAAGAGACCATATTCTGCACGAACTCAAAGGATAAGAAAATTATTTAAACAATTTCACTCCAAGTCTTATAACGACTTGGTTACTAGCTTATTCCTTCAGCCTTCAAGTATCGTGTACTAGATATCTTGGACAAGAAATGAACCAGATACGTACGACTAGACATTGAAAAGAAACGTCGAGCGAATAAGATTCTTTCTGGCGGAGGGGGTTTCCCCCTAATTATTATTCAGGGGGCGGGACCTGATGAACTCCTCTTCGAGAACGTGCCAGATAATCTCGAAGTTGCTCATCATAGAGAGAGAGAAAATTCGAAAATTAAAAGGAAATATGTTTGCAACTAAAAATAAGAGTTAAAAATATGTGCAGTAAAACAACTTGAATGGTATACGATAAATTGTCACCTTTTTGACTACGGAAGAAATAACTTTTGGCAACATAACGCTGTAGTTTAGGATCCATTTGTCTGGCTAATGCAACCATTTCAATTTTAAATATGGTTGTACGGCAAAGAAAGGAAAAAGAGCGAAAAAACGGGAGAAAAAAAAAGACATGATCTTAATAAAAATTCCTGCGCCTGACAAACCTTGCGAAGACATCGGTGGCCTCTTTTTAAGTTCACTTAAAGTCTATCGACAAGTTCTTGCCCATCCATAGTTTTTAAGATTTTTAATTTTTTTTGATAATATATAAATGATCACGCGATCCTACTTGAAGCACGTACGTTCGTCCTTGATTACTGATGTAGCCGTTCATTGTCTGCATTGTGCTGAGCAAGCGTTTTTGTCAAAAGCAGTACACCAAATCCACAAAACAAGACTTGCAGAGACGCACTTGGCCTCTTGTTATGTTGTTTTCTTTACATTTTTCTCTTCGCCGAAGTAGTACAATTTTCTTGTATAGTTTAATTTCTTCAATTTGAGGAATGAAAATTCTTACGATGTGCTTGAATGCAAATCTGACCATGATCTACAAAAAAGCGAGTCAGCATCTTTTCAAAGGTCAAAGGACATTCAAAAGAACAAGAAGAGAAAAAAAAAGAACCAAAAATAGAACCTGAATTGATGCACTTCGTTTTATCCATGCTTTCGTTTATTTAATTCAGCTATCTAAGTTAACTGGATCGGGACTAACAAACTGCTTGGGTAACAGAGCTTCACTGGACAAACAAAATATCTTTTTTTTAATAGTGCATTATTTTTCGAAAGCATATATATTTTGAATACTCTTAATATTATTTTCCACTGAGATACAACGCTGTTCGCAAGCCATTTTATTCATTAATTTGTATTTGTAACGGTCAGTTAAATATGTTAAAAGTCCTACACGGGAAGTCACACCATATCATTTTCCGCTTTTAGAAGCTTCCAAGTGGATAATTATTGAGGCTTCAGTGAAAGGGTTCAAATGTAATGTCATGTTAAAATGCTGGTGGACGAACCTTTTCAGAATCAAAAGAATAACTTTAAATAACTATTTAAAGGTACAATAAATAGTGCAATATTTTTATAGAAGCAAGTTTGTTTTTAGGGTGAAAAATAATTTTAAAAATATATCAAAGGAAATGGGTAATTGTCACTGAGCCAAACTGAGGAAATAAAATGATTTTAAAAGGTAGAAAAAAAATAATATTAAAATTATAAGATCTGAAAAGTATGTATTTAAGCTACATGGTCTGGATATCACAAATGTGATAGAGAGGGGCAGTGGGGGAATTTACAGTTTGCACAAATAAATTTTTTTGGGCATTTCTGAAACAGGATTTTTTTTGAAACCTTGTTCACCAAATGAAACATCATCTAAATAGAGCCTGCGGGAGTAAGATTTTCTTTAACTCCCAACCCTTTCCTACTTTTTTAAAAACATTTTCTCTCCTGGTTTGAAGGTTATAAAATGGCATTACTTTTAAGGCATCAAGTTAATATTAATTCATTCTCATTTATGTGCCCTGCAGTTGAAGAAACAAATATAGAGGCAACCCTTGCAGTTATGAAAACTACTGAACTAGTAGTTGAAATGAGGCCTGAAAAAATTGGATCATGTGTACTATAGGTGGTCATATCTCGGTCGACATATCGGCCGATACATCGGCCGATATATCGGTCGACTATCGACCGACTATAGGTCGACTATCGGTCGACAGTCGACCGACTATCGGTCGATAGTCGACCGATATATCGGCCGACAGTCGACCGATATATCGGCCGACAGTCGACCGATAAATGTGCACATATCGGCTGATGCATCGGCCGACAGTCGGTCGATATATCGGTCGACTATCGGTCGACTATCGGTCAACTATCGGTCGACTATCGGTCGACTATCGACCAATAGTCGGTCGATTGTCGACCGATAGTCGACCGATAAATGTGCACATATCGGGTGATGCATTGGTCGACCATCGGTCTATATATCGGTCTATATATCGGTCGACAATCGGTCGATTGTCGGCCTATATGTCGACCGAGGCCACCTATAGTACACATGATCCAAAAAATTAAGGCCTGTATGAGATTTGAACCCAAGACCTATATGATACCGGTGCAGTCCCTTACCAACTGAGCTTAAAAGCCAATTGGGAGCTGGTCATTATCTTGGATCCAAATAAACCAGTACTGTTCATAACAGCAAGGGACAACAAGCAACATTTGACCTTGAGAGACTTTTTGTAGTTTTGGAATGAAACAAAGATTTTCCCTTTTTTTGGCTTGGTTAACCCTTTAACTCCCAGAAGTGATTGACATAAAACGTCTCCCTACAATATATATACATTATTCAGCAAACAGGTAATGAGAATATTCAAACTTACTGGGTAGAAGCTGCTATCTAGATCTAGTACCAAGTTCTCATAACTAATTTACCAGGAAATGTGTAACAGTTAGAGGGGAGAATTAACAATCAGATCTTGGGAGTTAAAGGGTTAACTCCCAAGTTCTGATTGTTCATTCTTCTCCCTAGCTGCTACACATTTCTTTGTAAATTAGTAACAAGAAATTTGGTGTTAGATCAAGATAAAACTTCTACCTGATGAGTTTGAATTTTCTCATTACCTGTTTGCTGGATAATGTATGGATATGACAGGAGGAAATTTCATGTTAATCACTTCTGGGAGTTTAAGAGGGTTAAGTGAACTTCAATCATCTACAGACCAATTTCTAATTTGTGGGCAATGTTTGATTTTGCACCCATTCATCTATAACCTGAATCACATCATGTCGCTCAAGTTTTGTTAATAAGGATTTGAGGTGATTAAGTGTTCCAGAGTTTGGCTTGCTTGCAAACTTTTCCATTAGTAGCACACGCGATGGGTTGTTACTTTTTTGTTTGATTGAGGTGATCTCTGATGATTTAAGGCCAAGTTCATATCCCAGCATTCTATAATCATTCTCATCTGTGACTCTTTCAATGTCAAGTAGCATGCACATTTCACCGATGATAGGTGGAGGTACATCTGTTATGTAGGTTGAATACCCAAGGTTATCCTTCACAGGTTGAAGAGGTGGAATTAAGTTACAGCCTGCTCTATGGTTTTCCCCTTGCATATTAGCAACTAATGGATCAAAATCAAAAATGAAAAAATTAGCATCACATTTTCAAATAAATTATGAGACATGTCACTAACAGTGGTGGCAAAATTTCATATCTAAAATTTTTCTTGTAGGTTTGTAGACCAGGAGTTTACTTTGTCAAAATTCACTGTAAGTGAGGATCTCATCCTGTGAAGAATCATTTTGAAGGCTTGAGACTTGAATTCTAAAATATTTCTTGCCAAACAGAAACAAAATAAATGACTTCATCCTTCAAAGGAGGAAATAGTAAAAAGTATTAATTATGGAATTACTTGTATAAATAAGGAAAATACTTAACATGATTGTTTCTGTTATATAGAGATCACAATCACTTCAAATGGCACTGTTTTATATTTCTCCAGAGCTATCATGATTTTGCCTCAGTAATTAACCCTTAGATTTCTAATTATTCAATTGAAAAATTAGATCAGTTAATGAACTATTAGTTTTCCCTAATTTCACTGACCTTTATCTGTGGAATTTGAAGGTTTATCATCAAGGGATGATGGAATTCCTTTCTGAACTGAGTCTTTCTCAGCCATGTTCTCAAACTGATCTCCTGTTACAACCTCATGATCTTTATTACAGTAAACTGTATTTGAATTTCTTCTTGATCCATCAGTACCATGGGTGCAGTGCCCATTAATCTTTCTTCTTGTATCAGGGCTGTCTTCTTCACTCTGATTTAAAGGAGAAAATTCGACTACTTGTACACTTCTGCTTTGTCTGTTTTTCCTTACCTTTTTAAACAGGTAGATTAAAAAACAACAGAGTATGATGAAAATAAAAACACCCAGAATGTATGCCATTCCTTTGATCCACCTCATGCTTTCACCATGTTCATGTACTGTTTTGTGTACAGGCATAATGATCACACTTTCTGTAGGTACCACATCATGCTTTTGATTTGCAGATGAAACACTTGTTGATGAAGATTGGATTGGCTGGGTCCTTGAAGGAACTAAAATACTAGTGAGGCCTTGAAGAAAAGGAGTTATAGCTGTATGGATCTTGATTGATTTGAATAAAGATGAGGATGTTGCAATGACTGTAGAGGGGCTGAACATGGATTGTTCATCCTCTTTGATTTCTGCATCTTTCTGACATTTTTCAATGATGTCATCATCAGCATCTGTGAAGCAACAGGAATCACATGACTGACATTCATGGGTTGTTTTGTTTTGATAAAATCCATTGTCACATTCACATTGCACATCACTAGATGGGGTACATTCAGCTGAGACATGCTTGTGCTTCCCTGAACAGACTCCACAAGGTTTGCACTTTTCAATACTTAGGCTGTTAGAGAAGTTTATGCCCATGGTGCAAGAAACACAGTGAATGTCTGTTCCCTTTGGTACAGTTGATCCACACTGAACAGAGGAACCTGCACCCTCCTGACATTCGGGACAAGGCCAGCATCCTTCACACTTGCCAGTTCTAGGATCTATGATCTTGATATATCCTTCCTCAATGCAATCTGGGCACTGGCCTTTAATACCCCTACCAGCACTGAATGTTGAAAGTGCAAGAAATACCTGAGGAATAAAAGACAACATCAAGAAGGTGTGAAGAACAAACAAGCAGAGAAAAACCTCTCTGTTTTCCTTTTAAGAAAGAGATCTATCTGCCTTAGACATGGTCCTGGAGAAATATTAAATCGAAAGTCTCGCTACCAAAAGAGAGTCCATTAGTTGGAATTCACTAAAATTCGGAGAAATGTGGTCGGTTATTTACCAAAGAAACAATTCAAGTAGCTAAAATCAGAAGGGTCAGATTTAAACATATAGATTACATGAAACATAAATGTCTCGCGACGACTACTTGTTTTTCTGCGTACTTATTTGTTGCGAGATACGTTTAGCTTAGCTTAATTACTGAAGGCTGCCATCGTGCACTTTGGAACGAGAGCGTAATGGAGATTTGAAAGTTTTCGTTGAGACAACGATCTGACGTTTTCCTTTAGTATTTTCCTACAATAATTGCTGACACTGCAACTTACCAAAATCGCAAAAAATTTTGAGATTAACATCGTGTCCCTCTTAAAGAAGGGTATGGACAAATATACAGGAGGAAAGTTTATCGCTCTTGTTTCCCTAAAATAGAAAACTGTAAAATGAAGTTGTAACGAGCCTCAAGATTACAAACAACAAGACACAAGAAGCTTCTCTCAGAACTCAATGCATATGTATTAGTGCTCGTGCTGCACACACGTGACCTTTTCGCAAAGTCACCTGATGTAACACAATCAAGTAGAAAATGTAAAATGTACTTCTAGTATCAAACTCGCTCTTATAGTACCTCGATAGAGAAAAACATAAATTAATATTTGTTCAACCGATCCAATTAGTGAAAACAAACCTTTGTATATGTATAGAGTTGATTGTAGGTTCGAAAATTGGCTGAACTGCTAAGAGCTAGTAATTCACGAAGGAAAACCGTCAACAAAGGAAACTGTGACGTCACTTGTTCACTACAGCACAGCTCCTCGTCGGGGATTCCCCGTTTGGTAACGTTGAACTATGTACATAACTCAAATATTTTCAAAGGATTCCTACAAGACCCATAGTCTACTGTATTTTTTAAGGAAGCAAAATGTAACACTTTTTTCCTTGGAAATTTTACCCAACCTTCATCATAGCATCATTCACGTATGGCTTACTTCAGCATTTTTAAATAAATTCCCTTTTTATTTAAGAGCAGGTATTTTACATTCCACGCATATTTTGAATTTCTAGCTCAAGTACTCTTAGAATTGCGTCTGGGCAAGGAATTTTTTCTTTTATATTCTTTAATCTCTTCCCTTTTTGCGGATCAGTAGCTATTGTCTCCAAAGGCCAGTTTTGTTCGCTTGATTCCTTCAGTCGCCCAAAGAATCTAAGAAAAAAGAATCTACATTTAAAAATGTCTTTCAATTAGATCGTTCCATCATGTGATCGTCTCCCACAAGCTGCTCTGAAAGGGAATTGGGTCCTAGGGATATGCATTTTGATGTATGTTGGTCTCCACAAACGTCCTTATAAGATTTTATAAGCTTCCAAATGTTCCGAGGGGTTCATTAATTTTTCGAGCTGCCATGTAGAGAGATTTATAGAGATTTGGGCTTCTTAGATCTGGGACCAAACACAGCGAGCGGCTTGAAGGCCTTCAGGCTCCCCCCCACCTTTGTGTACTCATGTTGATGATAGTTATCATCATATCAATGACAATGGTAGTGATGATGATACTTTTAATTATTATATTGCTGTCAGTGGCAATATTAAGTGAATTCTGTCTTGATTGGCTGACCAAGCAGGCAAGATGGGCCCATCTTGCCCGCTCGGGCTCTAAATGCCCGCATGGGTCCCGCGTTAGAGGGAAAATTGCTCGGAGCGAACTCGCTCAAAAGCTCGTCATTTTTGGACAGTGTGGGCGTGGAGTTTCAAAAGCAGTTAAAGACAGTCAAAATGAAGAAAACATAAACGACGCTCGTGGGTTTTTTGTGCTAAAACACATTTGGCTTTCCTTCCCGTTTCTCGTAATAAACAAGTCATTCTTGGTACTCAATGAAGCGAAATATTTTTGCTTTATGATAAATTATTTACTCACCAAGCTGGTTCGATCAAGATGGCTAGATATTAGTCTCGTTCTCTTTACGCGTTCTTTACAGACCTCGACCACGTCTCGCTCCATAAAAACTCGAAAAGAAAACCCGGCCTATATCCAGCCATCTTGACCGAACCAGCTTGGTCACTTTTTCCGGCATGTGAGTCTTGCGTACAAACAGGCAATTTTGTAATTAGTCCATTCACAATCAAATTCATGATTTGGTTATGTTCTTAGAGCACTTCGCGGGCTGCATGCTTGGTTGATTTGCTTGGATCAGTTGTCAGAAGTTGGACAGTTTATTATTATTTGTCATTTTTATCACTTTGATCTTATTGATTTGGCTCGGTATCATCTCCGACACCTAGTTGAGTAGAAATGAAAAGATTCCTTGGAAAGAAAGTGATGAAAGGTCATATACCATGGACTTACAGGAGTTCACAAAATTTGAAGATATCAGTAGTACTAGAATGGGGATTTCACTGAGTAAGAGTCAATTTAATATTAAGCACAGCAAAGACAGTTTGCACTTTAGCATTTTATTTGCTCATCTTTCGTCTCCCGTTTGTAGGGCCTCAAGACAGGGTAGGTATATTGAAAACTGAAGGCCAAAATTCGAGTTTTAATTTTTCTTCCGCCATATCGCCCTAATTCAAGAAAAACCACTTATACAATATAAATTCTACTGGTTCAAAGTTTATGATAATTGAAACGGAAAAATTAAAAATTATTTCAGACTCGGGTATAATTTTTACCCTAACCCTACTTGGCTTTAATGAATAAGAACAAAGGTAGTATTTGAAAGTTTTTGATTACGTGGGAAGAGCAAGGAGGGGTTAAAATCAGTACTCCTCTCTAATGTTCCGTCCCCCTCCCAACCCTCACCACGACATATCCGCTGCAAAACCAAAACAACTACCTTTCACCTTCGATCTTCGCAAAAAAAAAGAGAAAAAAGAAATCACGGAAAGAAAAAGAAACAAAAATCGGTGATTAGTATTTGGGAGGATTTGTCTCTTTGAAGTGAAATATTTAACACTGAACGTCTTACAGCATGATACAGGTAGAGTTTTGATGAACTTGTGAAGGGTCGGAACTATTTCTCTTGCTCCCCCCCTCCTCTCCCACCCCTTCCTCCTAGGAGGTCTGTTTGTGATAATGATATGATTGGTTTCTTTTAAGGTGTACCAAAATAAACAAATATTTTTCCTATATAACCATTTCATTCGATTTTATTTAGTTATTGTTTATTTTTGTAAGCCTAAACAAAGGATATTCAATTCTGGATTTCCTTCTGTTATTGTATTCCAGTGCGGACATTTGTGTTCTACCGCCTGATTGGTCAGTTTAGCTGCACGTTAATAGTAAACCAATCAAAATATCTGTTAGAAATGTAAAGAAGCGGGCCGTTCGTGATCAAATAAACACCAAGTAAGGAAACTAAGGATTAGAGGTGTGAAAAGGTTTCTATGAAACCGTGTGCTCTTTGAAAAATGTCGCGCTTCAAAAGGTGGCAATCTTTGGTGTTGGACTTAAACTCCCTCAGATAGCAGTTGTCGATAACGATGCTGTTATTAGCAGAAGCTGGGCGCACTTTGAACAAAGATTTGACGAGCCTCTTTCGGCACAACCTGCAAACTCCGCACGTTCTCGACCGGCTGGTTCACGAGCTTCACAGTGACAAAGAGCTATGCAGTTACTTGTTTTTAAATCATCCTGGCTCAGAGGACATGCTGTGGGGGCTTATGAACCTCTTGATGGAAGATTCACGGTGAGAACGCGTTTTGTTTATGTTCAAGTGAACAGCTGAAAATTTGAAAGGTTGTTGTGTGAAACTTTCAACACTGTTGAACAAAAGCGAAGTTGGTTTTGAATGAAGAGCTAACTATAAACAAAATTAAATCAGCAAAAACATTTTCGAAAAGGTCAGTATCAATTGCAGTAACAAACCAGCGGGTTGCGAAGGTGATGTTAATGAGTCGATTAGTTAACTATTGTCTTCATTTGTGTTGTGTTTGGGATTACACAAAAGCCTAGCGAAAACAAGATAACTGCAAGGTTATATTAACCACTAATTGAATCTTGCATTCATCTCTTAAAAAGGCACAATGTTCTGGATGATTTATTTTTGCAATAATCGTTAAAAAAAACCTGCCTTCCTTAAAACTGCGGGCCGCGATCTCTTGATTCTAGGAAAAGATCACATTAAAATGAGGCAACACAAAACAGTTTAATATGCTCTCGGTGTTTTTGTTCAAAGGATTGTTAGTCTGAATTTTTTTTCGGTAAATGATAGATTGGATCATTGCAATTATTATGCTAAGTTTAATCTATCCTAAATATTTAGTTTTATATTTTTCATCCGCTTTTCCCGACCACAGGAAATTTTTGTGTAATTTTATACTTGAGTAATGTTTACTTTGCATGCCATTTGACGTAAGCTTTCCTAAATTATTCTCATGTTAAATTTTAAAAGTTAGATAATTAGTGATATTTCAAAGTTGAGAGAAAAACTTCATTGTCATTTTTGTGGTTTTATCTCAACATGCGTCTCTTCTCAGACTAATTTTGTGATAATTATCCTTATTGACACCCTGCTTATTTCCTCTGTTGATTACAAGTATTTCCTGTGGTGCCCATAAGTGGCTTAACATGTTAAGAATAATTTATTTCCTGCTTGTCATGACAAGCTTGTCTTTTCTGTTTTCCTTATGGAAATTTCTTTTTGCACCTGCCACCCTTTCACTTCCAAGATCAAAATATCATTTCTCTGTACTGTCTTCCACACATTCCACATTTTATTTATCTGTTTACTAAGAATTTGTTGCTAAATCAAAAAAACATCCCAATTGATATATTTCTTCCTTCCCTTCTGCTTTATATTGTAAGGAGATTTCCTTTGAATCTCTCCTGGGAATGAAAGAGTAAAATTTACTATCCAAATTGTTTCTTGTTTCCATGGAAACCATTTGATCCTGAAACTTTGAGACTGAATTTCCACTAGCTATCATGACTCGGGATTGGTGATGAAGTGGTAACAGTTGTAT